TTTTTTTATATTTTTTTGGGTTTTTTTTTTTTTTTTTTGCTTCTTTGTTTTTTCCCCCCCCCCCCCCCAAATCAGAGCGAGATAAGAAAGCTGAATACGTTATGGCATCCATGGGAAAGAGAACGGGTGGATTATTTTACGTTAGGGGATCTTTGGAATTGTTATGATGCATGGAGTGCTTATGGGGTTGGAGTTCCAGTTAGTCTTGATCATGACCTAAATTTAATCCAGTATTTTGTGCCTTATCTCTCTAGTATACAAATCTTCACCAGCAATGGATCTGTAAACAGTTCAAGGTAAGTAAATTGGATTAGCTTTTCACATTTGCCCGTTGTATGAATTGTACATGGATTGTATCTGCAAAAAGATCCCAATTTGTTATGCCTAATTCCATGATTTTTTTGTAATTATCGATTTTTTTTTGACCAAGTAATCTTTTCAGTTGACATTTGTTTGTCGAATTCAATATTGAGTCGTTGTTTTACTTTTTCAACATGTCGTCAGTAGTGTTGGTAATGGACATTTAGAGGTAAATAAAATGCTTATAAATGGACTGTGGGTGACATGATTATGCTCTAAGATGATTATGTTGGATTGGTGCTAAACTGTAGGGAAGAAAGTGATTCAACAACTGAGACAAGGGATTCTTTAAGTGACTCATTCAGCGATGAGAGCGAAAGATGGGACGGATGTTCCTCTGAGGAAGGGTTATTCGAGCAAGATGGCTTCTGGTATCCCAATGATAGGTGGGGTAATCTTTACTTCCAGTACTTTGAGACAGCTTCTCCTTATGGAAGAGTTCCTCTCATGGACAAGGTAACCTTATTTAGCGCTCAAGAATCTTGTTCAAATATCATCTGTTTTTTTCCAATAATAAATTTTAGTGGAGAATAGAAAAAGAAGCATATTATTGTTGATATGATAGAACCACTTGAAATAGTTTTCTTGGTAGGCATTCATTGAATAAAGATCCTTCGAGACTTCTGACTTGAAAATGAATCACCTTGGTGTTTTCTATTATATGCCATCTTTATTTGTCTTCTAATTTAATAAGAAACAACTTTTCTCGCATGTCATATTCTCACCTTCACAAGCACATGCTCTTGCCTTTTGACATTGACAAGATTCCTTTTCTGTGATTCCATGTGAAACATGATGTAAAGATATATATTTTCTGATGATTTGTTTTACAGATCAGTGCCTTGGCTGAAAGATACCCTGGATTAATGTCATTGAGAAGTGTAGATATTTCACCAGCTAGTTGGATGGCGGTTTCTTGGTTTGTCTCTTGCCCTCTTTCTATTGTCAATATTTCATTTTTCTCCCTAGTTTAGTTACTAAATTTACTGATGATGATGTGATTTTCAGGTATCCAATTTATCACATTCCCATGGGCAGAACCTCCAAGGACTTGAACACAAGCTTTCTCACGTACCACACCCTTTCTTCTTCTTTTCAGGGTATGCATTTGGTCGAAGTGCACTTATTATTGTTCTCTTTCATTTTAAGCTTTGAATCTTTATTGTTTGTGCGCATACCAATCCACAGACATGGACATTGAGGACGACCCCAAGAGTGGTGAAGGGAAAAGCAAGGGAGGAGAAAGCATCTCTCTCCCTCCATTTGGTTTAGCCACTTATAAGACGAAAGGCGATGTGTGGGTCTCGGACAAGGATGGGAAGGACCAAGAGAGGTTGTTATTGCTTTTGAGCGTGGCAGATTCTTGGCTAAAGCAGTTAAACATCCAACACCATGATTTCAACTACTTCATGGGGATTCGGCATGGCTAAAAATACTTACTGAAATTTCTCGAACCCCACAAAAACGGATCAGTTACTAGAATCCTTTTTTTGGTTAGAATGAATGAGATTGAGTGGCGTTAAGTGGTATGACCTTTTGCTGATATTTTTGAATCAGGGTGTCCCCTTTGTTTCTAGTTTACAAGAGATTGTTGTTTTGAGGGTAATTATAGATTGGTAGAGAGGAAAGAACCCTTTGGGGCTCTTTTAACTGGGAAATAATATATGATACATTTCATATCCTGTAAAGAGAGATTTAGCTTTCTAGGCTTCGAACATATTTCTATGTTTTGTAAATTTCTACTTTTTTTTTGCCATTTTTGTCATTTCCTTGATTGGATGTATGAGAATTGTTAGAATTTTAGCATGTTCCTTCCCCCAACCTTTTTGAAAAAAAAAAAAAAAAGATGAATTAGTGTTGGTTTACATCACCAAGTACATCACCAAGTGCATAAGGGTGTCCAAAATGGACACCCATGCCCCTCCCCTATGTATCCCATGAATAATCCCTAATAGATAGGATAATTGGAAAGGATTTTTGTGGCTCAAGGTTGTTACATTGTGCAAACATGACCTCATACTGTATGGTCCTGGGCTTGGCCATACTCAAATGGTCACTTGATTAGTGATGTCGTTCATTTTAAATATCAATATACCTTTTCAACCAACTGTTGTCCCTCTTCAATTCGTAAGTCTTTATAAGCAAACTTGGATTACTGCCTTTGCTCGAAGTCGTTGAAATTGGTCTAGAGAGTTGTTTTGACCACCTCTTGACCAATTATTTATGTAGGTCCCACTAGTTGGACAAAAGATCTCTTTGGCCGAGTGTATTAGACTCCATGAGTAGATTAATGAATGTATTTATTTTTCTCAAAACCAATGAAGGGTGAATGATAAATGAAGATAAAAAAATGACCACTTGAAGTTGAAATAAATTGAAAATAAAAATTGGTGAAAATTGAAAAATGTCAATCCCACGTAGAAAAACTAGAAAAATGGAAACCACTTTATACTGCTCAAGTTTCAGACTTACGTTTGGACCCCAAGGGGTTCCAATAGTATTTGAATGAAAGAGGACCTACATGCTAGTAGGTTGAGCCAAAGCCCACACGTATGTCGCCGTCGTCCGTTTGGTTCAGCAAGGGTCGTGGTCGTGATCGTGGACTTGGGTCGAGTTAGTATATATATTTTTGGTAAAATAATATTTGAATTATAATTATTTTATTATTAAAATTAAAATAATATATTTATTTATATTATTTATTTTCCTCGAGCTTTTCCATGCAGAGCACGTGGCATTTTCTAGAATATGGCGGTTAACTGTTAAACCGCTTGTTCAAATAGGTTGTATCTGTTCAAGACACAACTTTTCGGTTGTTGTGCCTTTTGAAGACAGTTTTTCAAGTTCTATATATAGGCTCCTAAATCTAGATTTTATTCATTCCAAAAATTAATTTCGATTTTTCTCTCTTGTAAATTATATTGCTTCCTTCTTGCATTATTTCATATTTTGCATTTCACTCTCGAATATTATTTTCGTGCATTTTAGTCCTCAAGTTTAGAAAGATCAAACCTAATGGTTCTTTGGGTCTGGTAATTTGGAGTGCTATTATGACAAGTCGAGATAACTGTATCTTGGGATAAGAGTGTCGGAAGATCGTCAACACTAGTACAAGGCATTATCGTCTTAAGAAAAGAGAATCAAACTCTTGTTTCGACCATTAATAATTCTTTTATTCCTTTCACTATGTAAGTCGAATATTCTTCCCAACTTGTTATTATAAAATATAATTATTGCCCAGCAAAATAAATATTTTTCTAAAAATCTTAAGACGATAATTCGTTATTTACATACTAATTTATATTCTGAAATTTCATTAGATTATGACAAATAATACTACAACTTTCATAACTCCTAACAATGCTCATTAGGAGAAAAAAATTCATGTGAATGGATTTTAAGAGATGGCAACAGAAAATGCTATTTTATCTTACAATTTTGAATTTGGTGAAATATTGAGTGAAGATACTCCAATTATTGAAGAAGAGGAAACAAAGAGCAACATTCGATGCATGGAGTCATAGTGACATCTCGTGTAGAAAATTATATCCTCAATTGTCTTTACAACACACTATATGACGTATACAGTTCAGTCAAAACAACTAAACTACTGTGGGAATCATTGGAAAGGAAGAACAAAACAATAGATGACGGTGTTGAAGAAATTCATTGTAGGCAAATTCATGGACTTCAAAATGATAGATTCTAAAACAGTGATGAATCAAGTCCAAGAGCTACAAATTATCTTATACAAAATACATACAGATGGTATGAATCTCAATAAATCAATTTAGATCACTACAATTATTGAGAAATTACCACCAATGTGAAAAGTTTTCAAGAACTACCTAAAACAAAAAGCAAAGAAATGGGACTTGTAAGATTAAGAATTGAGAAAGATAATCGAAACTCTGAGAATAAATCTAGAAAGCTACAAATGGATGCTAAAGTCAATTCGGTGGAGTCAAATACTAGTAAGAAAAGGAAGCACTTGAGTAATGACAAGCAAAAAAGTGAGGTGAAAAAATTCAAAGAAGATTACATAACTACGATAAGCCTAGTCGTCACATTACAAAGGATTATCAACAGAGTAGGTCAAACAAAAAGGACCAAGTATATTTGACCAAGAAAGACAAATTGTGTAATGATGTGTCTGAAATAATGCTCTCAACTGTTGAATTTGAAGCAAACACGGTGGAAAATTTGAGAGAATGGTTCGTAGACACTGGGGCTACTATAAACTAATTTAAAGTAATATCTATGATTTAAAATCTGTGAAAATTAGATGAGGTAAAAAGTATTTTCTTAATTTCATAGATGATTGCACAATGTACTTTTATTTCTATTAGGTAAGAAGCAAAAATGAGGCCTTAGAAGCATTTAAGCAATACAAGAATAAGGTTGAGAATAAAACTTAGGAAACAAATAAAAGTTGTTCATAGTGACAGAGATGGAGAATATAGATCACTGTTTGAAGAATTTTGTTCTAATTCTAGGATTATTCATCAAACTACAACTCCTTATTCACCTCAGTTGAATAATATTACTGAACGAAAAAATCGTAATCTTAAAAAGAGGATGAAGACTGTGTTGATTAGTTTTGGTTTACCTCTGCTAACTTCTTTCTAAATAAATTACCACACAAATGTAGAAAATAAACTCTTTATAAGTTATGGAAATATCATAAACTTTCGTACAAATACTTAAAAAAATAGGGATATTTGGCTAAGGTAGAAGTACCAAAGCTAAACAAGTTAAAATAGGGCCTGAAACAATCGACTGCATATTCACTGTATGTGCTAATAACATTATTGCTTATTGGCTCCTCGTACATAAGTCTAACATTCCGGATGTACATGAAAATATTGTCAATGAGTCTAGGAATGGTGTATTTTTTGATTATATTTTTTCTTGTAAGGATAGAAAAGAGTTAAGTTCGCAAAAACAAACTTATAATACTACAATTGTTAATCATCAAAATAACAAAGAACTAAGATGCAATAAATGGACCAAAACAGCTTCATCCTTTGATCTATATTTTTAACTTATTTGTTAAAAAGTGAAACTAGGACATTCAATGAAACAATGTCAAGTCCAGAGCTCCATTTTGGAAAGAGGTTATCAATAGTGAAATTGATTCTATTATACAAAATCATACTTAAGAGTTGGTATATCTCCCACTTCATAGCAAACTGTTAGGCTTTAAATGGATTTTTAAAAGAAAATTAAAAATTAATGGACGTTAGTTAAAGGATTCAAATAAAAGGAAGGTCTTGATTTTTTCAATACATACTCACTCACCAGTGACAAAGATAATATCTATTCGAGTATTAATTGCAATTGCAGCATTGCATAATTTGGAGATCCATCAAATGAACGTTCAAATTGCTTTCTTAAATGAAGAGCTAGAAAAAAAAATTTACATGGAACAATCCGAGAGGTTCATTGCTCCTGGATAAGAGAAAAAATTGTGTAAACTCGTTAAGTCGTTATACGGGCTAAACGCAAGTGTCAAAATAATGGTACGCAAAATTTGATAAAACAATGTTGTCTAATGGTTTTATTATTAATAAGTATGATAAATGTGTTTATACTAAAATCACACCAAGTATATATATAATTGTATGTCTATATATTGATGACATGTTTATTGTGGGTTGTAATTGTGATATTATAACAATTATAAAGAAAATGTTGACAAAATATTTTGACATAAAAGATAAGAGTATTGCATAGGTAATATTATGAATTTAAATTCTTAAGACATTTGAGAGGCTTGTTCTATCTCAATCTTACTATATTGAAACTATATTTAAGAAGTTTCATATATATGATGAAAGTCCAATTAAAACTTCAGTAAACTTAAGTGTACATTTGGTTAAACATAAAGGCATACATGTATCTCAGTTAGAGTACTCTCGAATAATAGGCAATCTAATTTATATTACAAATTACACTCATCCGACTATTGTGTATGACTTTAGTAAATTTACAAGTAACCCAAATAATAACCATTGGAAGATATTGGTAAGGGTTCTTAAATATCTATGATACACCTCAAATATTGAATTATATTATACTAAATACCCAACTGTATTAGAAGGATACAGTGATGTTAATTGGATATCAGAATCCAATAATGATTATGTTTTTGCTATTGATAGTGCGACCGTATCTTGGAAATCCTTAAAACAAACTTGTATAGCTCGATCCACGATGGAATTTGAGTTCATAGCTTTAAATAAAGTTGGAGAGGAAGCATAGTAGCTTCGTAATATTTTATAAGATATTCCATGTTGACCTAAACTTGTGCCTGCAATTAGTATGCATTGTTGATAGTCAGTTATTGGTAGAGTACAAAGTAGTATGTATAAGGTAAGTCTCAACATATCCATCGAAGATACAATACAATTAAGCAGTTAATCTCAAATGATATTATTTTCATAGATTATGTAAATCTAGGGAGAATCTTTGCGAAGCCACTTAGTCAAGGCTTACCAAGAAATCAAGTATATTGCCTATCAAGGGGAATGGGCAGGCTTACTACGTAAGGATCTTTGTAATTGTAATTCAACCTTGGTGACTGGAGATCCCAAGATTTTGGTTTAACAGGACAACTGAGTTATGAAGATTCAATGAGCATTTGGGAGTTAATTCCTATGATAAGAAAAGTGTTGTCTACAGAAAGTTTTTGATTAAGTTATACTTGTAATAGTTCATATATTTTGAACTATCCAAATAGGGTATGGAAGGTAT